CTAGCAACTATTGTGTGTATGAATGCACCAATAGGAATTCAGGAATAATTAAATAATTAAAAATTGTAATAAGGGTAATTATGTAACTTTGGCATGATAATTAAAATAAAATCCTTTAATTCATGGAAATTACCATAAAAATCTCTTTGACCAACTACTAAAACCCTAGCCTCTCATATCATACGTATTTTATTTCTGCCTCCTCCCTATTGCCTCTTCCATTGACAACCACAAAATCGTCTCCTCCCCCTTCCATCGACCTTCGGCCGCATCAGTTGAGTTTTGATGCACATGACGACCATGACCCTGCTACAACCGTGTGTATGCATCTTCACTTTCTCAATTAGGGCTTCCGCCCCTATCACCGTCATCGATTGGTGGAGGTTTGGGAGCCACCATCGCTCTGTTAACCTCCATCTACTTCCCGACTGCTTAGGTACTTAATCTGACCAATCATCGCTGCCTGTGTAGCTATATGGAATTCTTTAGCTGCCTCCTGATCGATCCGCTCCTTTTTTGCAACAGCTCTTCTGCTTCGTTTTCCCTTCACGAACCGTAAACGACATCTCAGGTATCATGTTATCTTCTTTATTCAGGTATCATGTTTATTGTGGGTATTTGGAAGAAAGTAGAGTGACAAGGATAGCCCCATAAATTGTCAATTCTCGATTCCAATCAGCTGAGATTTTTATATGGTTTGATTTTTCTCTAAATTCCTAGTTCTTGATTTTAGGTTCGAAGATATAGAAGAATATCATAAACAATGGCATCCCTGTTGGTGGAATTGAAAATATTCCGTTTTGCACACCAACTGTTTGTTAATATGTCTCAGTGAACTTCAGTTACTTATTCCAAAATTGGTTCTTTCTTGCTTAATGAGTCACTTTCAACATGTCTATGCATGTTTTGTCCACAAGGATGAGAAACAAATCATATATCTTTTAAAGTAAGTAAACTCTATTTTGGCGTCTCTTTGTGCCTTTTTTTCTATACCTGTGTATAAATGTGTGAATGTTGCTCCTCTCCCCCTCTTAGAAATTAACTTTTATTAGATTTTCAGGGGATAAAGGCCTTCACCAGACCTGGAAGATTGTTGTTCCTTGAAGATTGTTGTTCCTTGATTATCTTTTTAAGTTTTTCTATTCATTCTTTAAGAATAGTTATTTCATTCTTTAAGAATATTATGTATCTAATGTATTCTTCTATTTGAATAATGTGTAGAGAGTATAATAATCTTGGAGAATCACATAAGAACGATTCTGCCAGAATTGTATTTCTGGTATAATTACATAAGAATGATTATAGTAGAATCACATAAAAATGATTTTTCAAGGGTTGTATTGCAATTGGCTGAAGTTTTAACATGATTTTTGTTTCTTATGTTTTTCAGATGTTTCAGATGTATAAAATCATTCTCATGCAATACAATTCTGACAGAATGTCAATCTCACAAAATGTCAATCTCATAGAATGCTAGCATATTTTGAAGTGACTTAGAGGTCAAACATACACAAGACATCTAGAAACGAAACAAGAAAGTGAATGAGGATTCTTTCAAGAATGCCGATATTTTTTTTTGCAAGAGATTTCAAGAATAAATGTAATTTATGTTAATAGTTGTATTCTTTAATAATGAATGTAATTACTTATTCTAAACTATTAAACTTCATCTTATATAAAATTTATATTCATTAAAAATTATTAGTCTTGATAATATGTGTTTATAATATTATGTTCATAGTTATATATCATTCTGACAGAATTACAGAATATCATTCTAACAAAATAACATTTTGATAGAATAAAATCGGTTTATGTTTACAAATTACGTTTGAAATTAAATTAATTTGAAAAAAAATTAGATTTTTAAATCAAAATCATTAATTATCCCATAAATCTCGATTTTTCCTTTTTTAAATTCGTCTCAATTGACTAAAATGCCCTTATGCTGAATTTGTGTGATTATATGGTACATGTTACCCTATTGTACTATCATAGACCCTCAGATCATGATCTTTGATTATATTCCATCCTATGGTCCAGATCTGTGCATTCTGGCACACAATAGTTACTAGAAACAAAATAACTTAACCCTATATATATATATATATATATATATATATATATATATATATATATATATATATATATATAAACATATCTATCAAAAAAATGTTGTAAAAAAAGATGTAAAACACACGTTTTCGATAAGCCGATGATGTCTTCTTCTAGTTTGATGGTATATGGTGCAAAAAAAGTGAATATGAACAAAACCAATAGTTTGTTATCCTCCTGAGTCATTTTCTATATAAAATGGAAAGACAACATTTTGGTTAACCCGATGATGTCTTCTTCTAGTTTAGAAGTGTCATGAAACATATAATTAGTTGACAAAAAATTATTATTTATCATGTTACATCACATGTTGTAAATTATATTAACTAAGGTTAAATCATTTGCACGTTGCTGCGTAAACTTTTGATGTAATTTTTTTTAGGTTAAATGGTATGGTAGTTCGTAAAAGAACATGTATAAGAAACCATACAAAAGTTATTTTTTTTTTTAAATCAATAGTGTGTTATTTTATAAAAAGAAAAAATAACGTTTGTAAAACCATGCAAACAAAAAATGTAAATTTTCAAAAAAAAAAAAAAAAAAAAAAAAGCTAATTCATAAAAAAGATGTAAGATATATTGTTCAATTAAAAAAAAGGGGCTAATATCATAAAAACCCTCAAGTTTTTAAGGTTTTGTCGGTTTTGCCCAAAGTTGAATTTTATGTCCGTTTTTACCCTAACATTTTCCAAAATATGTTCGGTTTTACCCTTTTACCGATGATAACAGGTTACCATTATATTAACTTCGCAAAAAACCCTTAAGTTTACAGTTTTTTTACGTTTTTACCCTTAAGTTTATATTTTTTTTACACTTTTACCCTATGTATTTTTTTTTCATATTATACGTATTCATGCAGAAAAATCATATTTATATACGAAAAAGTTTTAATTAAATATTGTATTTACATTTTTTAATGTTATTTCTTATATATATATATATATATATATATATATATATATATATATGTGTGTGTGTGTGTGTGTGTGTGTGTGAGTTTTTTTCTTGGATAAACCATTTAAGATGTAAAAAAACACAAATTAATATGTTTTTAGAACTACAAATACGTATTTTTATGTATTTAAAAATATACATATCAATAAAAAACTTGTTCAATCATAAATATGTTTATATAAGTATATACATATATTTTTAGAAGTGTAAATATGTATTTTGATATATGTTTTTTTTTTAAGTATAAATATATTTTTAGAAGTATAAATACATATTAATATATAAAAATGTAAAAATATGTATTTATACTTCTAAAAACTATATCTATAAAACATGTATTCATAATTCTAAAAATATTATTTATATTTTTAAAGGGTATAACCTTGCAAAAACTAATATATATATATATATATATATATATATATATATATATATATATATATCATTAAAAAATATAAATACAATATTTATTAAATATTTTTTTGTATATAAATACGATTTTTCTGCATGAATACGTATATTATGAATTACTTAGGGTAAAAGTGTAAAAAAATTATAAACTTAAGGGTAAAAATGCAAAAAACGGTAAACCTGAGGGTTTTTTGCGAATTTAATATAATGTTAACCTGGAAAACCTGTTATCACCGGTAAAAAGGTAAAATCGAACATTTTTTCGAAAATGTTAGGGTAAAAATGGACATAAAATTCAACTTTGGGCAAAACCGACAAAACCCTGAAAACTTGAGGGTTTTTATGACATTAACCCTTAAAAAAACATATTCAATCTCACTATTTACCATGGGATTTGTTCAATTAAAAATTCACCTAAGATACAATCTCAGTGCTTTAATCTTTATTCTCTAATCGAATCTTTAGTTTTTTTTATCGTAGAAAATTCACTAATTCTGCTCAATCCCATACATATTCAACATGAAATTGAGCTAAAAAATTGATCACATAAAGTCTCATGGAGCATTAGAACTTCATCCATTCATCTCAAATTAGCGAAAAATCACAACAATCATATCAGTTCATTTGGAATTTTATGTCTTACACACGATGATTTTTTTTTCTTCAGCTTACTATGTTTTCTTCTCAATCCTTGTGGTTTGCATCTATATGAATTATGATTTTAAAAGGTCAAAGTTGATTCAACCATCAATGTTTTAATCAACATCAGTTTATAATAATGAGTATTCCACAAACACAACATTACGATCAAATCAAAATACTAGTTCATTTTGTTGGCGAATTACATACTCCAAAATTACCAGAGCAGGTATCCTAAATGTTCTTTTAAACAAAATTATAAATTTGGTTCCTATCTTTTACCCAATAAAAACAAGTCCACTTTAACTTTTGAGATCGTTTATGTTGTCCTTAGGTTTGCCGTTTGCATTTAGTTGCTGATATGGTCCCTACAATTATATAACACACGACTTCAAAATTTATACTAAACTTAATATTGGGTAAAACGCAAACACTATATCGGCAACGAAATATAAACTTAAGGACATTATTGAGATAATATAGATGAAGCTTGCAATTTTGTGTAAAGCATAGAGACCAATTTTTTTTAGAAAAAAAAACATAACATAACATGAAAATAAGGTTTTACCATTAAATTCCAACTAAATTATAATAAAAGTGTTATATATAATACTATACTAATATTTAATTATTATTAACTATAGAAATAAATATCATGAATAATGTTATAAAACACATTAATGGGAAAAATAACAATTATTTTCCAAGTGACCTATGTACACAAAAAAACAAGTTCAAAGACCAAATCAGTACACAAAATGTTAGTCACCAAACTGGAAAAATTCGCATAGTTAGTAGGTGGATTTTAAGGAAAAAAAAAAGAAACATGAAGTAAAATTGATTAGTGTTTGGTACAAAAAAAAAAAAAAAAAAAAAAAAAAAAGGACATGATTGGTTCTATACAAATTAATCGTACAAGTTTTGAATTACTACAAATCTAAATCTCAAGGATCCTAATAATATTCAAAACCTATATTCCCCACAAATAATCCTATAACAAACATAACATGGTTTCATCTTCATCACCACATTACATAAGCAAAATCATGGTCCACATGAACCAAAATTGAAAATCATCTAAAAGTTGCAGCATCGAGGTCTTCCATTTGCCAAATTATCCCATAAACACACCATTTGTCTAGGGGACTGATAATGTGCTGTGTAGTAGTTATCCATACATCCGTACTGACAAAACTTCCCATGGTGGGAGTATTGAACCCGACTCTTGCTGCTATTGAACTGCTCCACCCACATTCCCATGCTCACGTCTTCCATCTTAAATATCTGCCAAACAATACAAGGGTATTTACGTCTTTTTACCTTTTTTACAAATTTTGTCCCAATCCAATGCATATGCATGCAAATCACCATATAAGGTCAATTTGTTCTGCCTTGTCAGGTCCTGACAGGGTGGGACCGCCTATTTTTGATGATGGGTAAGAGGAGGGCATTTACGTCTTTTGACCATTTTTGCAAAAAATTGTCCCAATCCAATGCATGCAAATCACCATACAAGGTCAATTTGTTCTGTCTTGTCATGTCTTGTCAGGTCCTGATAGGATGGGACCGTCTATTTTTGATGGGGAAGAGGAGGGCATTTACGTCTTTTGACCTTTTTAGTTGGTACAGAAAAGTTGCAAATTTTGTCCCAATCCAATGCATGCAAATTTGTTCTTTCTTGTCTTGTCTTGTCTTGTTATGTCATGTCATGTCATGTCATGTCATGTCATGTCATGTCATGTCATGTCATGTCATGTCAGGATGGGACGTGGGACTGGCCTTTTAGGGCTATTTTTTATGATTGGAAAGAGAAGGGTATTTATGTCTTTTTGCATAGATGAGAGATAGAGAAGTGTCCCAGGTTTTTGGATGGGACAAAAAGTATTTTGTCTTGCTAAATATTAGCGTTGGTTGTAGTACAATGCAAGTCAAATGCAGTACAAGGTTGTTGTGTTTATTTATTTATTTATTGTTTTGTGTGATAAATAAAGAGGATTTATATTTTATAAAAATAAAAAGGGAAGTGTAATTGAGGACCCTGAGTTTTCTTTTGGTGTGTTGAGAGACAATGAAATTGGCTATGTCACTGGAAATTATGTATCCTGGTCCATTTGCATAAGGTGGATACACTGCTTCAGGCCATTCCTGTAAATATTAAATGTGGTTTTATGAACACAGGTTTGTTTTCGAAAAAAAGTTAAATAAATATTGTATGAATTAATTAACAATGAAAAGTTGTGATACCTCAAAACTAACTGCCCACTTGCCGTGTCTGAGAGGGCGATGAAAGAGATTCAAATTGCCCATATAAAGAGATTGTTCACGTGGGACCCGGTCGAGTTCTTTTAAGATTACATCCACTCTTGTGAAAGTGTCATCATCACATTTCATTACATATGATGCACTCAGATTTTGAACCTACATTTCAAATGGTATTTTATTATTGACATAGTAAATAAGAAGCCATCAGAAAAGGAAAATTTAAGAAAATATGCCTAATCTTGAGCATATTTTTGGAAGGAGGGGTATTATTGGCATAAAAGCAAAGATAGGGATATATTTCAATGAGGGTCATTGGTGAACATAGGTTTGTAAAAGGGCGTGTTATTGGCACAAAAGTAAAGTCATGAAAATATTTTTGGAAGAGGGGGTGTTATTGCCACAAAAGAAACGATAGGGATATATTATGAAAATATTTTTTGCAAGAGGGGGTGTTATTGGCATATTTTCTTAAATTTTCACATAGAAGGTATAGGAAAAGGGTAGAATTGTAATAACCGCATATTCACAAATGGCAATAGTTTTGAGCACCACAAGCTCATAGTGATCCATAAATGTTAATACAACAATATCTCCAAAATAAGCAGCCTCCTTTTTCAAAACTGCATTTTGCTCCCTTCTTGGACTCTGCATTTTTCATGTATTTTGTTATTAGAAACAATTAAAAAAATAATAAACCATTTTTACCCTAAGCCACCTTTTGTTACACAGTACACTATGATGACATGACATGATGTCATTCAACTGTGTTTGTCGTGCATTAGACTGAGACTGATCAAAAAAATTTGAAAAGACAAGAATGCCCTCTTACCAATGCAACAAAAAAGCGAACTACAACATCTGAGGTTTTGATGGCTGAAGCTTGCATCCATGTTTTTCTAATAGCCATACGCTCAGCAAAGTGATTTGTAGCTGATAAAATCCCGATAAAAACTCGGATAGGATGAGCTGGCAAAGGTTTAGCTTTCCATTTTTCTGACATTTCTATTACCCTTTGAGGTGAGAAGCTTGGATGAGAGGCTGGAAGTGATGTGGCAAAAACTGAATGAACATCTACATCACCTTTAATTGCTAATCCTGTTGCATCCTCAAGTGTATACCCCTGTTGGAAAAACACCAAAAGTAAAGAATCAGTTATGTTTCTGTCATTTTCTCACATCTTTTTTACACATCTTATATACAAACATCATTAACTGAGGAAAAAAAAAATGTAAAGGGCTTTAGAGTAACATACTGTACGATATGGGAATGAAGTCACGTGTCTTCCTCCAACATTTATATGGTATCCATCAACTCCAGCACGAATAGTCAAAACAAACAGTTTTCCCTCCACAAAAGGAAATGGCCATGTCACTTCTGGTTTTTGTGCACGTCCTATAAATCTCTTGAACCATGTTGTTGTTCTTGATTCTTTTGAATCAACAACATCATTACGCAACCATTTTTCACATCTTTGAAATCCATCAACTGTAAAAGATAATACATTGATTGAATACCAAAAGAATGAATAGAAAGTAGAAACTCTTGTAATGTTAACAAAATGTATATGAAAAGCTTACCAAGCATATCATCATCACCTTTTGATGGTAAACCATCACACCTCTGAGCTGTACCCCATTGCATTCTGTAACATGTGTTATGTTCAATGACAGGTTGTTGACTCCAATCACCTCTCAATCGAGGATTTAGATGCAAGATTTTAGGTGGATCTTCTGCAACTACAGACTTTAGCCCTTGCAACTCAACCTTAAACTGGGAAACCAAAACCATGGGATCACCTGCTTTTATTTTTGCAAGCTGTGGAACATACTCATTATGAGCATGATGAGGGGTTCCCACTACTGTAATTGATGATCCTGCAGCAAGACCACAGGGAAGGAAAGTGATTCTGTCTCCTTTAGTTAGTTCTTCACTACTCATTGATACCCATGGAGGACAATGCTCTTGCTTTCCTTCAAGTATGGAAGTCAAATCATTGTCCTTCTCATTGTACTTATGAACCTCTTCCCATGCCTTCAAACCTAAACTCCAAGCTTCATCTGCCATTTTCTCCAATCCAGTCATATCCCGAGTCCTTTGCCTTCGCCTCAAAATATCACCAGTTAATCTCCCATATCGAAGATCAATAGGTGGAAAACTATCATCGTTCTCTTTTTGACTCACTCTTTCAATTCTGCTACCATTTTCTAACCTTTCCTTAAAGTTATCATCAGGTTCCTCTTCTAACTTCTTCTCTTCTTTCACTTTTTCAAATCTGTTATCATTTTCTAATGCCTCGCTATTTCCATCCTCGTATGCAGATCCTAACGATGGCTTACTGACTTCTAACTGATCTCTCCGTACTGCTTCATCCTCAGTAGTGGTCGACGTCTCAAAATAAGCAGAGAACTTGAAGCAAACAAGGATCAAATACAATGCCGCTATAACAAACAAAATATGTGGCAGTTTTACCCTCCTCAAACCAAAAACTTCACTCCTCGACCTCTTCATTTTCATTTATTAGATAACCAAATCGGACACATTGGGCCTTAATTCTACAAACTAAAGCAATCTCGTCTCATAACTTCAGTTGATCCAAACACAAGTTGAAATCGATAAATAAAAGGGCGTAAGAGAAACAGAATCCTGCGTACCCTAATTTTCCGAAGATGCAGTTTTAATCTTCGCCTGTAGTAGAGGGGGATTTGCCTTCAATCGAATGCGAAGAACCTGAGGAAATCAGCGGCAATTTGCAGAAACGGAAGTTTTGAGAGGGATCGAAAAGATTTAAAGACCTAAGATGGGAAATAAACGTGACAAAAGGTGTGGATGAATGTAACGAGCAGACATGACATGATCATATATTATAAAGGTCAGGTGGAGCAACCTTGTCTAACCAAAAGGAAAATATGGTTTTTATGCCTCCGTTAAATGTTACAATTTGCCTAATACCCTAAAACTGCGAAGAAATTTTATTAATCAATATAACATATGTTGTAATTATTTAATGTTTAGTAAAATAATCAGACTTCGAAGGGGAGTTTGGACCCAAAATCACACTCAATAAATGGATGGACCCAAGCACCGCAAATAAGACAAATGATCGAACTCAAAACATGATCAGACGTCAAAAGGGTCAAACAACTAATGCTTACATCGATGATAGAGGAATAGAGAGCCAACATTATATCGTGCTCTATCCATCTACTAGGATGAGCACATTAGACAAACGATAAAAAAAAAATCTTAGTATACAAACAAACTTTTTAGACTGTCTGAAATGAACACATGTGTCCTCAATCACAATATAAATACCTTCTATATGGAAAATTTTCAGTTTGCCATAACACACTTCTCTACGCTTACCTTTTTGTACACTCTTAGAAAATACACAAACACATCCTAATAATATCAGTTCCTTTATTAAGCATAAGAACTAGATTGTTTACAAGATCTTACAACAAAAAGCTCACTACATCAACCTATACTACGCTCAACCTAAATCTACTCACAAGATGATAAAGAACCGAGTGAAACAAAGTATAACAAACTGAAACCCTAGTGTAAACAATCGGTTATTTCAAGTCAATATAAGTCAAATCAAGTCAATAAAAGTCAAACACGTCAAATTAAAAGTCAATTTATTTATTCATAAAGCATAAAGTATAAAAATTGAGCATTAATATAGAGTTTTCGGTTTTGGGAATCAAATCCCATTCTAGACCGAAAACCCTTCTTAGCCGATAACCATACGAGACCGAGTACTCCCTTGGCCGAAATCCCTCCCCACCGAGAACCTCCATCCGAGAACCCACCTATGGACCGAGAACCTCATTTTAGACCGAAATCAAAGAGATCTCGGTTGGACCTTTTGATTGAGAACATGGTTCTCGGTTTGGAAGATAAGTCGAGAACACTTCTTCTAATCGGTGGCACACATCCCAAAATGATAAAATACACTTCCCTATGCACCTATCACATCAATTTATCCCCATATTTATATGCTCAAACCGAAAACACAAGCTCATTCCTCTCATTTTCACTTGCAAAGCTACGTATTTTCTCTAAAAAATCATAGGAACTTCTTATGATCTTCAAACCATCTTCACACAGTATCTTCAAATCTTCATAAATCTACCAAGAACATCATCAACATTCCCAAGAAACTAAATATCTTCAAGATGAATTCATAGAAACCTTTGTAAGTTTTCTTACATAATCTAGAAATTTATCAACACTTACATATTAGGTCATTTTATTTATACACTTTTCTATGTGTTAAATTGTAACATCCATAAAAATCATGCCAAATTTAAACTTTTAAAAACATTTCAAAACCAATAATTATTACAAAACTTGTTTTCAAAATAGCATAGTGTCAGAGTATCCCAGAATCAAGTCATAAAACATAAGGTGGTGTACGATCACACATTCGTCTTCCCGCGATCATTAGAAGTACCTGAAACAAAATCAACAACTGTAAGCCCGAAGCTTAGTGAGTTCCCAGAAAATACCAATGTCATACAAACCATATCAATAACATATAAACAAACAGCATGCATAATGAGCCTTCAACCTGACTGGACCGCCTCGCAAGGGCCTTCAGCCTATCTGGACGGCTCTTCGAGCCTTCGGCACGTCTGGACCGCCTCGCAGGGCCTTCAGCCTATTCGGACCGCTCGTCGGGGCTTCGACCTGACTAGTACGCCCTCCAGGGTCTGTAGTCTATCCGGTCCGCCTTGGGTATGTTGGCCTTCGGCACAAAGCAAGACCGCCTCAACCCAACCCCAATCAAACAATCATGTGCACATAAATATCATACGCTAGCATGTATATAACAGTCAAACCGATCTAACAGACCACTAAGCATAGCAACATCCTATAACCAGGATACTGACCTAACCGGTCACTAACATAGCATTATCCTATATACCAGGATACCGACCTAACCAGGTCACTAAGCATATCACCATCCTAACTATCAGGATGCAAATCAATAAGCATATCATGCAATAAACCCGAATACAAATCCGAAAAGGGCCAACATTGGTGCCTTAGACCCTGTTGATATAGTGAGAAAAAGTCACCTCACAAATGTCGAACTATAGTGATAAGATCAAACTCTCGAATCACAGCCACGAACTCCACCACCTATATTCATCATAGGACCACTTCCATAAATTCCCAGTTTACTAAAATACCCCCAGCAGTCAAACTGGTCAACCCTTGGTCAAAGTCAAAGTCAATGGTCAAGGTCAACAGTCCATGTTGACCCAACTCGTCGAGTGTAGTTCACTGACTTGTCTAGTCCTTCCAGAACTCGAGAAACCGTGAAAACCCTAGTTGACTCGCCGAGTTTCCAGACAACTCGTCCAGTCCATGCGTGTCCAAAAGTCGGGAAAACCCTAACTGACTCGTCGAGTCGTCTCACTGACTCGCCGAGTTCATGCAGAAACCAGCAACGACAAATCTTCATCGGACTCGTCGAGTTGACCATGCAACTCGTCGAGTCCCTTCAGTCCATTTCCCATTCATACATTTTTAAGCTACCCCAAAGCTCCAAAATGTAGATCTAGCTTCCTAAGGCACATATTCTGTAACGCCCGTAGATCCGGGCTAGTCAATTTAGAGACGATAAGCATCAAAAATGACTTTTTGATGGAAGATTATTTAGAAGGATTAATCTTAACCAAGTTGTAGTATATGTCTCGAGGTCTCCGAAAATATAAAGAACGCCGAAATCCGAGTTATAACGAAGAAGTTATGACCTGTCGAAATTTCGCGACAAAACCGGCACGGTGCCGAATGTCGTAAAAAGTGAGTTTTTGATAAACTACTTTTCAGCCTTAGTAATCTAAACAAAACTCGTAGTATTCGTTAAACCGAGAAGTTCGATAAAAAGAACGCCCAAATCTGACTTCGTATGAGGAAGTTATGATTTTTCGAAGTTTCAGCTTAGCAGTAGACAACTAAAAACTCGAATTTTAGATCGAGTGATTTTTAGCCGACACGACCTAAACGAGAATCGAAGGTCTCGTCATTAGCAGTACAACGGTAAAAAGTCTGACGAAAACGGACGTCGGATGAAGAAGTTATGAATTTTTAACGGATTTACCAATCCCGCTCTGTTAAAAATAATAATATAAAAATAAAGTCAAAATTTTCCGACGAAGGCTAAACGAAAGTTGTAGAGCATAATTTTATCTACACGTGCATATAAATAACGTAAAAAATGGAGCCCGTATGAGAAAGTTATGGATTTTACAAGATTGGGCACATTTTTCGAGAAATTTCGCATGAAGAGTGCTGCCACGTCACCCTCACTCGGAGCTGGCCACGTGTCCGAAGCTTCTGCGTGGCATGTCCGAGAAGCGACGTGTGTCGCACAGGTGTCCGAAGCCACGTGATCTCGCATGCGCCCCACGTGATCCGACCCGCGTGTAGCCTCCTGATTCGACCGAGGTGTTGGCCCAATCCGAACCGCACACCTGTCCGAACCGAGCCTCGCCCTGCTGCCACCTGGTCTGAGCCTCGCAGCCACCTACCCTCTTCCCTTCGCTTCGGATCCGAACCCTCGCCTATAAATACAAGGCCTGCGAGATTACCCGGCTACTTTTAGGAAATTGGCAATTTTGGCCCCTTTTTCAATATTTTGGCTATCTCGACGTCCCCCGAAGCCCCGGTATCGATTATAACGCCCGGAACACGCCCCGAAGTGCCCGAAGACCCGGAAAATTTATCTTTTCGGTTTCGAAGCCCGACCCTTCGCAGAGCCCGGTTTCTCAATAAAACTTCCGGTTTTATTAGAAACGATCGTTTTAGGAAACGAATTGCTGCCCGGTTTTCATTAAATCAGGTGAGTGTATAGTCACTTTCATCTTACGCATAGATATGAAGTATTTTATATAAAATACATGCTATGTGTATATATGTTGTTTGTTTATTTGAGATGGATGTTGAATGAATGTTTTATACATGTTTAAAATGATTTAAAATCTATAAATATTTTATCTTCAAATATGTTGGGTAAAACATGGGTAGATAAAGTATGACGGATAAAAGTACAGTATAGATGTACGTTGATAGCTATGAATTTAGTACAGTATAGATGTACGTTGGTAGCTATGTATTTAGTACATTGGTAGCTATGGACTTAGTGCCTATTGTATAAACCCTGACGATGATGTGACTTCGTGCCTATTAGATAAACCCTGGCGACTATGAGACGTAGTGCCTATTGTATAAACCCTGGCGACTATGAGACGTAGTGCCTATTGTATAAACCCTGGCGACTATGAGACGTAGTGCCTATTGTATAAACCCTGGCGACGATGTGACATCGTGCCTATTAGATAAACCCTGGCGACTATGAGACGTAGTGCCTATTGAATAAACCCTGGCGACTATGAGACGTAGTGCCTGTTGTATAAACCCTGGCGACGATGTGACGTAGTTCCTGTTGTATAAACCTTGGCGACGATGTGACTTCGTGCCTATTTGACATAAATTGCTGAGGGAAAGCAATGTTGTCACCCCGGTGTTTGTTTTATTTGACATAAATTGTTGAGGGAAAGCAATGTTGTCACCCAGGTGTTTGTTTTATTTGACATAAATTGCTGAAGGAAAGCAATGTTGTCACCCCGGTGATCGTTTTATTTGACATAAATTGCTGAGGGAAAGCAATGTTGTCACCCCGGTGTTTGTTTTATTTGACATAAATTGCTGAGGGAAAGCAATGTTGTCACCCAGGTGTTTGTTTTATTTGACATAAATTGCAGAGGAAAGCAATGTTGTCACCCTATTGGTTGTCTTATTTGACATAAATTGCTGAGGAAAGCAATGTTGTCACCTTATTGGTTGTTTTATGTTAGGTTGTCTTGATTGACATAATTTGC